CTAGAACTTGGACCAAGTTCTAGTATCGTGGACATTGGCCTTAAGACAGCCATTCTGCTCAAGCCCTTTTGCGCGCCCTCACGCCCATTTTTACTTTTGAAACTGTTTTGCTATGCATCTTCCGATACAACTCTTTTCATGTAGCCAATGTAAATTTTATAAATTAGATGTCCGAACGCATAGCACGGACATGCACCAAGCGGAAATTTTATCGGCAGAGTCAGGCAATGCGTAATGAACTAGTTCCGAAAGTAAAGATGGGCGTAAGGGCGCGCAAAACAGTCTCCTGAAACGGTAACAAGTAAGTAAAACGCCCGGCGTGGCCGCTCTCAGGTTTCCCTCTGCTAATAGAGAATTCGGTTGCTTGCACCGGTGCGCACTGAGTGCACACTAAGGCTTGTTTACAATCGATTCTTATATTTAAGGATCGTCTTAAATATCTCTTAGCCAGTGAAATAATTTGTATAGCATCCATACGGATCATTCTTTTGGCTAAACACTCGTTGAACCTGTATTTAAGACAAAAGGTCTGTTCGCGTCGTGGTTTGCCCCAACGACCAATACCGTCATTTTATTTACGATTTAAGCGACGGTATTGGTCGTTGCGGCAAGCAGGAGCATGTTGGGACACGCGACGCGAACAGGTCTAAAGTTAGATGTAAGAGTTTATTGACTATAAACAGGCCTTTCAAGGTTTGTCTTCTGTTCCTGCACTGGTGAACTAGTGCAACAAATTAGACAATAATAGACTCCAATATTAATAATCAATGTGAGGAAGGGCAATGAGAGTCTAATGTTCCACAGGATTAGAGTAAGACAAGTATATATTTTCTCATTCTAGCTTACTGCACTAGTTCGTCAGTGCAGGAACAGAAAACAAACCTTCAGTGCGCACTAGTGCGAGCAATCGAGTTCGCTATAACATACGAGAAATATTTTCAATGGAAAAAAAGTAATAAATAAATAACTGTATTCCAAATGAGAACACGAAAGCAAGTAATGTCCTTTTGCATTCTGTAGGCCGAAAAGAAAGCATGAATCCTAGTCTACAATATATGATTTAAGTCCTAAGCTTTAAGAAATTGACCAATCACGATCAAGTATGAGTAGAATACGCGACTGTGATTGGTCAATTACCCTTGGTCCACAATCTTGCTTTAAGTAAGCTGTAAGCCTTAAGCCGTAAGAAATTAACCAATCACAGGTGAGAGTGAGGGGAATAAATGCCTTACACAAAAGGTTTACAGCTTACTGAAGCAAGATTGTGGACCAGGAGTTAAGCCTTGTGTCCACGATTCAAGAGCTGTGTCCAAGTTCTAGTTCCGAGAAATGCGTAGTCAATCAACTTGCAGCTTTTCCATAAAAGCTACAAGTTGATTGGTTGCACATTTCTTAGAACTAGAACCTGGGGCTCAATTCTTGAATTTATTCGAAGGAGAAACGTATGCGAAAATTCTGTTCTTACAGAGAAGTTGCAAGTTGATTGGCTATTCGCATGGCTTTAACCAATCGACTTTCAACTTTTCTGTCAGAGCAAAATATTCGTATACGTTTCTTCTTCGAATGATTTCGAGAATCGGGCCCCTGGACACAGTTCTTGAATCGTGTGGACACAAGGCTTTAGTCCCAGTCTACAATAGAGATTTAAACCCCAAGCCTTAAGAAATTGACTGATCACAGTATTCTACTCATACTTGATCGTGATTGGTCAATTTCTTAAGGCTCAGGGCTTAAAGAATCTATTGTAGACTGGGACTCTCTGCTTCGCCGTCGCGTTCCGTCATTCTCGGCCGTTCAAATTCCGGAAGTGGCGAGCGACGCCATCTGCCTCCCTCCTACCCTCGCAGCGACACCGGGGGCGAGGATTAACCTTTACGCTCTCGCACGCCTCGCGCGTCTCGTCGCCGAGAGCGCGCGGCCGACGAGAATCAGCGTCGCCGGCGGAACGGCGTGAACGTGTTCCCTCGCGCCGGACTCGCTCGCGCGCCTCCGACTCGCTCCCGATCGCCCGTCACGTGCGCGAGACGACGCGTGGTTTTCAGGTTAGGAGCGTTCGCGATCCGCGCGCCTCCGTGGTCTTCTGCTGGCAAGTAGCGCGCGACCCTACGCGCGGTCCCGCGTCTCGCCGATCGGACGCGGACGACGCGTCGATTCGCCGTCGACTTTTTCTCGCGCTCCCTCCAACCGCCGCGCCGAGACCCCGGGCCCCGCTTTGCGTTTTCCGTCACGCCGCGAGCGTCTACGTCGGGCGCTCGCTTGACTCGCGCGCGCGTCGACGCTGGCGACTTCCGGCGGAGATAAGCCCATGTGGAGTAGCACGGCGGATGCCACGGTCAGTCCGTGATCTAAGCGTGTTCTCGGCGCGCCCGTGTGTGCTCACGAGCCCTCGCACGTCGCCAGATCTCTCCGCCCGCTGGTCGCCCGTCGCCGCGCCACCCGGACTCCGTCTCTCGTCGCCATGGCGGACCACCTGGACGATTTTTTCGCCAAGAAAGATCGGAAGAAGGCCAAGGGCAAGAAATTCACCACAACCGACGAGGTCGCCAAGAAACTGGAGGAGACGGGCAAGCGAGTCGAGAAGCCCAAGCCGAAGGAGAAGCCGGTGAATCCCGAGGGCGAGGAGTCCCAGCACACCGAGGTAAGACGCGGACGCGGACGGCGGCGCGGGCGGCGACCTCTTCGCGGTTCCCGTCCCCGTTGCGGAATTCCGGAACCTCGTGTCCGCGCCACGGCGCTGCCATGTTTGATCTCGCGAACGGGGGAACGGCCCGCGTGGAGCGGGCGCCGACGGCGACGACGCGCGGCGGCGACGACGTGCCTCACGGGCGACCCGGCGGCCGCCTTACGTAACCACCGGGCACGCCGGATCGCCCGCGCGCGTCGCCGCAGCTGTTCCGCGTGTGCACGTGCTCTTCGGACCCTCCTCCCCCTCTCTTTTCCCCCGCGAACAGGGTGGACGGAGTTGATCGTTCGAGAAACTTCGCCGGAAAGCGGCGTGTGTGCGGCGACGTGTCAGCTGGCGGAGTAGGTTCCCTCCCCCCCCGCCGCGGCTATTCCGACCTGTCATTCGCACGCGAGTTGCGATCGCCGACGCGCCACGAGCCGCGGGTGGTGTCGTGCACGGGAGTCACGTGATTTCGGCCTATCGCGATAACGATAGCCGCCAAGTTTTGCGAGCTGGTGAGTCACGGGTGCGTTTTTGCTTTTAGGACGAGGACGAGTGGAAGGAGTTCGAGGAGGAGAAGAAGGACTACAGTGGTTTGAAAATCGGACACTTGACGGTAAACGACACCGTTCACGCGCAGTCGGACGACGAGAGGGGTAACTTCGAGGTCAACTCCGACGGGGAGCCCTGCGAGGGTGGCAAAAACACGGGACCATGGAACAAGTCGGCGGACGTACCGAAGGAAGCGCCTGATGCGGTGCCCACTCAACCCGCCGCCCCGCCCGCCGCCACCGCCGCCGCCACCGCCACCGCCACCGCCGCCACCGCCGCCGCCACCACCACCACCGCCGCCGCCGCAGCCGCCTCGACTGGGAGTAGTTACAAAGCGCCGCACTTACGGAATCAACCCACGTTCGCCAGTCCGCGACCGCGAGGCAGAAACATCGCGCCCGATATAAGTAGCGAGGAGTACTTCCCTACCCTCAACTCCAAGCCTCAGCCGCAAAATAACGGCAGCGGTCCATGGGGGGCCAGACGGTAAGACACGAGACCGGGGTCCTCGCAATGACGTTCCCCCGCCGCGAATATTTAATCTCGCGATTAACGTCCTGAGAGGGTGCGGCTTGTTACTACAATGACGATTGCTCTCCGTTGCAGGCGGCGAGACGAAGGCGCGTTTGAGGAGGTGCGCAACCGGGGCGGCAGCAGATACAACGTGCCAGACTCGCAAGCCCAGACGCCCAAGCTCTCCCTCGGCAACAAATACGGCGCCCTGTCGCAAGACCAGAGCTGAAAACGCCTGTCCCGACGGAATCAAACAATATGCAATCAATATCACATCGTCGCCCCTCTCCGCTTCGCGGCCCAACCTCGCCGAGAGAATCTATTTTCTAGACTAGGACGCAGTGTATATTATAGAATGTGTATGCACGTACACACGCCCCGACCTGACAAGACCCGGGGGTGTGCTAATTCCGGTTGTCCCGTCGGCGATTTTGAAATGATCGCGGGGGGGGACGGATCGCTGATTCTAGGTATTTGCACACACACGTGCGCTCATGGACCTTGTAACTAACTCGAAATGAATATCGTGCATGTGCGCAAGCTTATTTTCATACCGTACAGACAACGTGGAAATCGACTTTTATATTTCATTTTGTAATCAGCATAGTGTGTAGTATGCTGCTTCCAGGAAAACGTCAGGGCGCGGGGGGGTAATGGATTTCTGGTTGGAATCCTCAAAATAAAAAAGATCACAGAAAACCGGACAGGAAACGACGTTGTTACCGCGGGTAACGCGTTACCGCTACGCGGATTGTAGTCTAAAAGGAAAAGAGTAATCGTTCGTTAAGGTATTTTACGTGGTATTCGCACTTTCTTTTATACGGTGCTACTTTTAATTTAGCGTGCATAATTACTGCCACGATCGATGCCTTCTCAATGAGTATTATCGATGAAAATAGGACTGATCACCGTTTACGTCCGAACACGATAAGCTTCGAGATCGGCACGGCAACGTCGAGATCGAAATTCACGCGATTGATGGCCAGCGGCTCTGCACGAGAGCCATTCTCGAATAACAATTCTCGAAGAATCGCTGGACGCTTCTTGGGCCCTCTCTCTCTCTCTCTCTCTCTCTCCCCCTCTCTCTCATTCTCTCCACTTTCGAGGGAGAGTGTCGCTTCGCTCAAAACGTGCGTCAACGAACGAAAATTTCTAGATAAATTAAGTTATATATATATATATATATGTATAATATTAATCGAATTTTGCGGGGTTGGGCTTTGGAACGGCGCGGAAACAATGAGGAGTAACGACGACGAAGTAACACGAACGCAACTTTGAGTGAGAGTAACGAGGGGCAAAATAGTTAATTAAAGCGTGAAACACAAGCTACCGCGTCGCGGTGGTGTTGTGCACAAAATAGGAGGGAGAAAGACACATACACATACACACGTTATGTCAAACATAAAACGGGAATCCTACGTACGCCTTTGTTAACAATTGTATAATTCTTTCTCTTCTTTTTTCTTTCTGTTGATGCAAAGAGTTTCTTTCCCGAGAAGAAGTATGCACGGCGAATAAATATCGAATCCGTTTCGTGGGGGGGAGTGAAGGAAGAGGAAACGGTTTCCCGTTGGGCGGATCCTCCTCGGCGGGGTGACGCGTGTTGTTCGCGAGACGCACGCGGACGGGGAGTAATGCCATACGGAAAACGATAGATAATAATAAGAATTCTTGTATAACGTGTGATAAAATGTGATTATTTATAAATAAATTTCTTAGGATAACTCGTACGTACTGCCTCCGAGCATTTTTTTTTTAATTTGCCGTACCGTACATCGTCGACGAACCGATTTCCCGAAGCGAAGAGAAGCGCGACCGCTCAATCCAGCCTCGTGCGCGCGCGCGCGCGCGCGCGCGGTCGTCTTTCCGCGATAGCCACGTGTCGTGGATACGCTTGGCTGCGGACGAACGTACGCGCCGGGTGAAATTTTAACTTAAGCACGCGGCGGGGACGCGCAACACCGGTGCCTCTTGGAGACAGTTTCCGAGTTTGATTTTGATCGCCGCGGCAACGCGGACTAGCCTGCCCTTTGTTACAGAATAATTGAGATAACAATAATTTTATCGCTACTGTTACACGAGAGCGAGCGATAGAATGTCAGGAAGTGAGAGTGCGCGTAAGTGTGGGATGCGAGCGTACGTGACGTATTTAATAAAATCAATCACCGAGATTATACTTTCATGCCAGTTTCTTTCGCTCCTTCCTCTTGCAAGATCCTACTTTATACATCGCCGTCGGCTAATTCTCTCCCAAGATTCGAGGCAACAAATTGGACTGTTAGCACAGGAACGATTGTATCACAAATATATAAAGCAAATTTTATATGAATGCGTATAAATCGTATATAAATTATTTTTATCTAATTGGTTCCGAAGAGGTGGAGCTGCCGCCCTAAAAATATTCAAGATCGTCGTGCGCCACGTCGAGCGCACGATACGAAACAGCCTTGTGAATCACTGCTTTCCGCGTATCGTCACTTTCCCCGAATTCACGAGGGTTTAACGGTACCCAAGGCGGAGAGAGCGCTCGCCGTAGCCGCGCGCTCGATCGAAAATTCAAAGAACGTCGTTGACGCTCGACGCGTCCTCGTCGCTGCAAAGAGACAAAAGCCGCCGGCAATGATCTACTGCACCTCCTGCCTGTGATCGTAGGACAAATCGCGGACATACTTCTCGCAGTACTTGAGCCCGTGACTCCCGTTGTTGGTGTAAGACGCGTACATGGCGCCGTGCAGCAGGGAGGATTTGTATCTCGGCAGAAAGTATATCCATGCTTTCGTCGATTCGCCGACCTGGGGAAGAGAAGGCGAGTCCGTCAGAAGAAAAATACAGACACCACGTTGCGTTAACGCTCGATGTACGCGCGTGTAAGCCCATCGAGTTACCTCCTCGAAAGTCTTTCCAGGTTTCAGCGCGGCCTCCGGCGCTAGCAGAACCTTCTCCTCCGTGCGCTCGTAAAACTTGGGATGTTCCTCCAGCTCGTCCAGTCTCCTCAGCATGTCGGAGTTCACATCGTATATCTCTCCGAGCACGTGCTGTTTAGAATCAATCGTTTAGGGCAGGTTTCACAAGCCGGTTAACTGCTAATCGAAGAATTTATTCTCTGTCTCGTCTTAGATAACAAGATGGAAAAAGTTAGGGAGCTGAACTCTGGTTAACAGTTAACCGGCGTTTGTGAAACTGGCCCTTAAGGGCCAGTTCCCAGATAGCACACATAGTTCTATGAATATTCTTCTGGAGTGCAAATATTCTATATATGTATAGATAGATCGTTACAATTAGAAATCGTATTCATATTCATAACAAAGAAGAACGTTTTTAGACTATTCGTCGAGAATGTCTTTGGAATATTCATCGAGTTTATGTATTGCACACTGTTTATTGTGCAATACACTTACCTTAAGGTCTGTGTCCACGATGCTAGAACTTGGTCCAAGTTCTAGTTCCGGGAACTGTGTGGCCAATCAACGTGCAGTTCTTACGGAATAGCTGCAATAGTTGATTGGCCACACGTTTCTCGAAGCTAGAACTTGGACCAAGTTCCAGCATCGTGGGCACAGGCCCTTATGCAAAAGGCAAGCGAAATCTGTGATCATACCATATACAACCGACACGCTATATTCGATAGATTGTTCTGTTCACATTCGAAGTAGATTTATAGTAATGCCAGTCGAATGTTCCACGAACATGAGATAAATATGTAAGATTGGCCTATGGAATATTTCCAATATTCTTTGAGAATATTTCTTAAAATGTCCATGGGAGTGTCTCGTGCTAGCTGGGAATAGACATATTGGCTAAATAAGAGGAGGCGTCCATCTAAAGCCTTGTGTCCACGATCCAAGAACTGTGTCCAAATTCTAATACCGAGAAATGCGTAGCCAACCACCTTGCGGTTCTTAAGGCCAATGTCCACGTTGCTAGAACTTGGTCCACGTTCTAGTTTCGAGAAACGTGTAGCCGATCAACTTGCAGCTTTTATGGAATGGCTGCACGTTGATTGGCTACAGATTTCTCGAAACTAGAGGCTTGTTTTCTGTTGCTACACTGGTGAACTAGTGCAATAAGTTAGAGTAGGACAAGTATATTTTTTCTCATTCTAGCTTACTGCACTAGTTCACCAGTGCAGCAATAGAAAACAAGCCTCTTAACTTGGACCAAGTTCTAGCATCGTGGACATTGGGCTTTATGGAATGGCTGCAGGTTGATTGGGTACACATTTCTCGAAACTAGAGCTTGGACCAAGTTCTTGGTTCGTGGACACAAGGCTTTGACAATATTGGGCCAATATTGGGAATACCGGATTTACATTATTCCCGGATATCGCGCCAATATATTGCGCCACTAGGGGTCGGTTGCGACAGCGCGACGAATAAAAGTCTTTTAAATCAGAATTCATGTCGCAAGGTGAAACGGAGGACTCGAAATTAGCTGGAAATTTCGACTCTTCCTCCTCGACTCACGTTGCCGGTGCCGGGTCTCTTCAGCAGGAACGGGATGTTGTACCTCGTGGCGATCACCAGGGGATACGGGACCGTCGTCCTGCCGACGCCCAGGAACTTGGCGTAGCCGTTCGCGGTGTCCTTGAGGAGGCCGTGATTCGGCTCGCCCCGCTTCAACGTGCCGTACACGAACACGCGGTGGAGCGGGCTCTTGAACAGGTTTTCGTACATTTTCGAAAGTCGCGGGCGCTACACGTGACTTCCGGCCAGCGGCATATCGCGACCGGACGCCGCCAGGTCGCCGCGTTACGTCACGCAACTCGTGCGACTCGAACCGGAGATAACGGCCGATGTTCAATTCTATATTCGGAAACGGTTTCCTGCCGCGGAGTGTCGAGGCGAGGGATGATTACGGAGCAGACCGCGCGTCACGCAGGGTCCCCCGCGCCCGAAGAATCCGCGCGAGGTCCGCTCGAGATTCGTGGGCTCGCGTAGGTCGGCGAGAGAATAAACATGGGACTCCTGACGGCACGGCGATAGCGGCACGACGTGTCAGCTGGCGCGGACGACGGAATGTCGGCGCTAGATGTCGGCGCTGTCGATCGGCGCGATTATTTAGAATTACTTGCCGGCGAACGACAAACGCGTATAAAATGTAGATGTGACATGGGGCCAGTTACGCAACGCGGATGCAGCTGCTTCAAACTGCGCTCACTTGTTCATCCCCGATGTAAAATGCGATTCGATTGCACCCCCAGTGACGTAATAGCTATGAAATGTGAAGCATGGAGTCGAAAACTACCTCACTCGCTTATTAAGTGCGCGCTACGCTGGTACCTGATTGAAAAAAAAAAAATTATTTGGTACTCATTGTCAGCTGTGCAGCGACGGACAGAATGGTTGCGTTGTGAGTTTAGGTACGTGCATTCTGGGTTGGGAATCATTTAAGAAATTCCCCAAGTGGCACACAGTGCATTGGCTATAAACATTGGGTAAAATATTGGCCCGATGTTGGTTGTATTGTGGATGATGCGCGTTCCTGAACTCATTAAAAAAAAAACTATTAAAAATATTCTTAAAGTCGCCAGCAGTAATTATAAATTAATAACATCGGTGATTTTTGTCGACCGTGTCGGGCAATTAAAATTCTTATTGCGAAAAGTATTACCCCAGCCAGGATTCGAACCTGGGACCTCCCTACAATCCGTGGCGGGCGTCTTAGCCAGCTCATAAAAAAAAATATTGTTGCATCCATTCTGTCCATCACTGCATGTACAGAGAATTCGCACGCGCGAGATATGAACGACTGTAATTCCACGATCTTCTTCGCATTTTATTACACCTTTTATTGCCACTCTTTACACGCGAAAGTAATGACGGAGATGGAGTTTTCGTAACTTAACAGAGGGATAGTGGATTTCCAAAAAAAAAAATGCGCGTGAAACAGCGCAAATTCGCGGGAACAGAATTTTCAACGCGAAATATCGACCGTAAACGACGCGCTTCTTTATCGGGGCGTCGACTCGCTCAATTACCTCGTCTGATAAGAAATCCATGTCCGAATTCTTCTCCGGCGAGGGGGAATAGAGGGAGTCCAGTTCTATAATGGCGATGTTAACGAGCACGGTAACGGCGGCGACGTGCACCAACATTTCCGCGAAGTGCAACGACCGAAAGTGACAATGCGGCCGGAGCTCGCTGGCGGATACCCTCGGATGCAGAGGGTATCGCGCGCTGAGCGTCGCGTGATAAGATAAGATCCTCATCCAATAAGATCTCCGAATAGCTGCGCCACGGCGGATCGCGCCACCCTGACTGGGCGGAGACACCCAATTGGAGAATCGCGAAGTCTAAACGCGGAGACCCTGAAGAAAGAAGGGCTTCTAAAGTTTCGGATTTTAATTATTTCAGTCCGCCTCAGCTGGGGACTAGGTTGGCACCGGCCGACTGCGGACTGAATGAAATCGCGGATATTTTTTATGCAGCGCTCAATTCAACCCTTTCTCTCAATCTCCTTTGCTAAAGGCCCTGCGTCCACGGTGCTAGAACTCGGTCCAAGTTCCAGTTTCGAGAAATGTGTAGCTAATCAACTGGCAGCTTTTATGGAATAGCTGCAAGTTGATTGGCTACACACTTTTCAAAACTGAAACTTGGACCAAGTTCTAGCATCGTGAACAGAGGCTTTTACGAGTACACTAGCCCCTGACGAATAGACTACAAAAAATTAACGATGTTGACGTTTCGCCAATATGACTATGAGATAATCGACTTGTACTGACCCACATATACCCTCGCTTATGAGAATTGATATAGAAATAGATGTCTCCGTGTAAAATTTTAAATAGCCACTTAAATAAGAGGGGAAGGCGACGATTTTTTAAGTTTTCTGGAAGTGTTAAAGAAAGAAGAATCTTTAAAATAAAATGTCGAAAACGCAGGAGACCCGTGAGAACAATCAACTGAGTAAATGTAACCGTACGCCGACTTTGCTCCGCAAGATTTCGCTTTCCACCGACATCGCGGAATCCTCAAAGTCCTTAAACACCCCGTCCCGTGTCGCTTGACCGTTCTGCCGTCTACGACGCAAAAGTTCTTGAAACGCCGTCCAATCTTCGTCCCTTTCGATATCGTTACCCTGATCGCAGGAGGAGAAAGCTCGCAGAGCACCCATAAGAGTCTCCTTGTCGCGTCGATACAGTGCATATAATAAAGATTACCTCCAAAAATACATGCAGCAATCCTCGGCTGCAGTCGCCTAACAGCATGTAATTTTGATAGCGCAGACACGACACCAATTTCTTCAATGTCTTATTCGTCAGGCGATTGACTAGATGCAAACACGTAATTTGCGGCAACGATTCAACGGAAATCGATTCGCATAATACGCGACGTAATGAAAACTTACAACTTAAACTCAAATGTTGCAAATTCAAATTTCCACTAGTCACCACGGAGCCGTTTACCGCTACAGTTTCTTTAGTAAATGGATGAGCGATGCCACTGTTCGAGAGCTCTTTCAAGGTCTACGAAAATATACGTTTAATACCTACGCATTATCCCTCATAGCACGTAATATTACACAAGTGTTATTAAAAGTGGTTAATACCTGGTTGGAATTGTCCGACGTCGCCGGAGAGTTGGATTGAATTCTCATCTTTGACAAACTGTCTCGGCTCGCTACATTTTGAGAATTGCCGTGACATAAATTTTACAACAATTCGGAAAGCGCTAAACGTACTTCGTTTAGAATTTCGAAGTAAATTTGGTCGCTGCCACGTCTCACTTTTCCTCGATTGCTCCGGAGTTTCTCGGGTATCTCGGCTATCCAGCTATAATGACGATCGTTTGTTTATTAATGGACAAAGTAACATCACGTCGAGATAATCTATCAACCTTGCTCTCCAGCTCGATAAGTCTGCGACGTCGAAGTCCGACGATTTCCTCGTGTGTCAGAGTGGACCTAATCGCGTCGTGTTATTAAAGATAGCGGCCTAAATTGAGAAATGTGCTTAATTTAATCGCTACTACTGTCAACGTTACATAGAGAGCTCCTGGAGTATCAACGAAGCGCCGCCATCGTGTATCTTGTTTCCGGTTAACGCCAAGCTCTGCAGTGATCTACGAATAGCGTTAGCGCGAACGTTACCCCAGCGAGAACATTAACGTCGAATCAACGTCGGCGTCGATGGGTTTCGACACTGCGTCCCCAGTTTTCGAAAATAATTTAGTCTGGCAACTTAATTTTTTGCTATTAAATTACTACGTTCAGCGTTCTGAATCACGGAAAGAACAATGTAGCTGCTGTAGCTAAAACTTAGCAAAATAGGGACAGCTAATATTTTTAGTTGTGATAGCTCAATATTTTGCTACGACAGCAAATCGTTTGCTGTCGCACCTAATACAATAGGCACAGTAGCAAAATATTGAGCTATCACAACTAAAATATTAGCTGTCCCTATTTTGCTAAGTTTTAGCTACAGCAGCTACTCGTACATTGTTTTTTCCGTGAACACTTAAGATCTTATTGGAAAGAACTGCCAAGTTAACATATTTAAATAAATTAGTAAGGCTCGTATGTGTTAAACACAAATTTCAAAGAATTTAGAGGACTCAGAGCCGTGACAGGATGGTAGTGTCTAAATATTCTATTCTTTTATTGCGAAAAAATATCACCTCGGCCAGGGTTTGAACCTGGACCTCCCAAATTAACTTATTTAATACAGAATTTCCTATAAGTTAATTTCAGTGCAAAACTGAATACAAAAATTAAACTCGCGTAACTTCTAATTACTTTCGAAAACTGACGGTTGGGACATTCGACCGCACTGACGTCGATTCGACGTTGACTCGACGTCAGTGTTCCGGGACATTTTCATTAAAGCTACTTTCGCGCGGGGAGGGATCAAAAGTTACAATTCCGAGCAACGTTTTGGCAACAATACGTGACCGATTGGTACGAAGCATCGCGGCGATGTACTCGGCACCGATGTCCGTGATGTCGTTGTCCGCCACGTTGAGAGCGATCAGTTTTGGGTCGTTCGGCGGGTCCCGATACGTCAGCTCGTTCGCGATCCTTTGTATACCGTTATCGGATAATTTACACATCCTCAGCGACAGATAGCGTAAACTGGAACACACGAATTGTCTTCTTTTTTTTTCGTGAGTTTCAAGCGTGTGCCGCGAGAATTAGGGCTGTACTGAATTTGCGACTGCACTTTCTCGTCGGCGCACAGAGCAGATAATAATTCTCCTGCACGTTTGGATTGTCATCCAGATTCAGATCGTCCAGACATTCCAATTCCGTCAGCGTTTGTGCTATCTGCAGGATACCGTAGGCATTTATCTGACAACTGGTCAATCTGGGGGAATGTAATTATCAGCTGTCGCAACGCGCGCTCCAAATCGCACGGCTGGTTTTTAAATGTCGTCTCACTTGAGCACCGTGACGGTGTTGTATTTCTGCAGCGTGGTGTTCAATGCGTCGAGGATGCAAATCGACACTTCCTGTCGTGCAAAATGAAAGAGCGTTACTCCGCACATAAACGCGAACGTCACGTCTAACAACATGAGTTCGATAATTGGTAAATCGGCGTATTTTCACGGCTTATCTTTACACTCCAGTCTCCGTGCGTCTTCCATCTTTTTAGGGTTTTCGAAAGTGACGTAAAAGACGGGGTTGTCCTCCGCCGAATCGATCCTAAATGAACCGCGAATTTCGTGATGAGACATTCAGGACCGTTCGGGAATGCTTACTTTTCTGGCCCGACCTTCGCATATCGCTCCAAGTCGTCTCTCGCCTGCAAAACCGTGACGTTGCACACAATTGTACACACGTGTCTACGATGAGGTGATATTTAGAAAGATTTACCACAACACTAGGTAACGGTTCCACGTTACTTTCCTCGCAGCGCGTCAAAAACTCCGAAATAAAATTTTCTTGAGAAGAGCCTCCCGAGCCTCCCGAGCGATCTATCGCGACGAATAATATTAATGACGATTTTAACGTGCCATTCATCTCGACAGTTTTGCATACAACTCCATTCTCCTCCTAACTCCCTGTTAATAGAAATATTAACCGTTTATCCAGGACGCTCGGTCTCTCATCGACGCAGCGTGTTTGCTCCTTCTGCTTGTCATGATTAACCTTTCAACATTAGCCGATTCCGTCGCGATCTCCGCCGCGACGTAAGAAAAACAATTGGCAAATCAATGTCAAAAAGTGGTGGCGAGAATTACGACGAATTCGGGATTTTTAATCGCGAACAATCAAGGGTCAGTCTCTCCGCGTACAAAGACTTGCATATTTTTGCTGCGTGGCTGGACTATTTTTATAAGAATTTTGCATGTAATTTTTTTTACAGCGTAAACTTCTTTGAATTTCCGTATTTTGTCCTGTAATCGGAACAAGTCCCTTTTATCGTCACATATTGGCAGGGCACTGGCGCCGCGGGCGCCCCTCGCCGCGCACGACGTGTAATCTGATGCTCGGGAAATATAGGGGTGACTAACCCCCTACGAAGCCACGCGTAACTCAAAAGAGGGAGGGGGAGGAGCGAGAAAAAGCCGTATCGGACGTAAAGTATCGGACGAGCTCCGGTGTGTGGTTGCGTAATAGGAGGCAGCGAGGATCGAGTCGCGCGATAAAGACTGGGCCACCGGGCTCTCGTGGGATTAAAGTCTGTAATTACAGGCGCTGCGCGGGGACCATCACCAAAATGATTTGTGCCATGGGGGGGGCCTTAACGGCGCCGCAAACGACGGCCGTGAAACCCCCGGAGCTCGATCGATGACACATCTCGACGGCCGTGACGGGCGCTAAGTCGATGCCGCGCGCGGCAAGAGAGCCTTGACCAACGAGAGAAATTGGAATGAAGACTTATTTTGTCGCCAGTGAACAATTAACCAACGTGGGAAATTAATAATCGGCACAACTGGCAAATTCTAATTAAAGACATTGATTGCGAAAAATATTACCTCACTCTGGATGAGACACGTATCAATATACGCTGTTAAATTCGTCGTGACTCAATGAGTCAAATTTGACTCGACGAGAGTCAATGTGTCGTTTTCACTTTTAACTGTCATGTGTAGATAAAATTTATTATTTTAACACAAATCGTAGTTAAGCAACTGCTTCTTTTATTCAACCCATTTTATGGATTCTCTTAGCGCCATTGTTTAATTAAATTAACGACATATCCAGTAGGAGCAGCGACGACTGCTCTTTGAGTCAAATTTAAAACTACAAATTTAACGGGGTAAGTCGAGGCAAGTCAAACGATAAAGCCGTTTGATGTCCTCTTAATTAATCAAATTCGTAAGGCTCAGATGCGTTAAACAAAAGGTCGAAGGAGCAAGAGCCGTGACAGGGTGTCCAAAAGATCTTATTATAAATTTATGTCCTCTTAGTTAATTTTAACACAATTGAATGTCGACGACGAGCACTTCGCCCGAAACAATTATCCGAGTCACCGGTCGAGTTGCAATTGCTTATCGCGTGACTCAAGCGACGAGTCGTCACGTTTTCAAAATACGCGATAATGTTCGCCCAATTCTGCTGTATTTTTTTCTTTCGTCGCGTCCTTCGTGAAAATTTCATTTATCGCGGCGAGCGCGTGTCCGTTCGCGATCTATCCGTCGGGACGAGATCGATCTCGTCAGATTGTACCCCCCGCTCGTGTGCACGGCGGCTGACAAGTTCGCGTCTCGTTGCGCCGCTCCGGCGAGCGCCGCGCGTTCTTCAGTCGTGCCCCGCGCGTCCAGCGAGCCGCACGCGAGGCGGATTATGCGCGCGTCTCGGGTCCGCGATTGAACGCGATCCGGCGAGGAATCGCGCGTGCATCTCGTCGAAGCTCAAGTGCACAGCCTTCGGTACTCGACACGCTGAATCACGAGACGTGGCTCGTCGATGAGACGCCGCTCTTGCCCGGAAACCGTGCTGGATCGAACGCGGAAGAGGAGCGGCGGAAAGTAAGCTGCGTCCGCTTGCTGTCGCTTTATAACGTTTTATAGTATAACAGCACAGCCCTCGAAACTATCGACTATTACTGATAAGAGATATTACAAGGGATATCATATGATTTTTGTATTTTCAAGCGGTGCCGTCCGCGAAGTCTCCGGCGAGGATAATACCCTAGTAGCATAGTGCATTGGCTCCAATATTGGTCCAACATCGGCCAATGCATTTCTAATATAACCAACATTGGACCAATATCTAGCTAATGCACTCTCTAGTAGCACAGTACATTGGTTAAACATTTGTCCAATATTGGGTACATTGGAAATGCTTTGGTTGGTATTTTCCAATGTAAAGCAATATTGGTCACGAAATCAATGTAAATATTGCACAATAGTAATCCTAGTAGTACAATATATTGGCGCGATATTGGGAAATAATGTAAATCTAGTATTCCCCATATTAGTCCAATATTGTGAGATGGACGCCTTCTCTTATTTAGTCAAGATGTCTATTCAGCGATATTGGTCTAATATTGTATCATTTTTAGACCAATATTACAATACATTTCTTATGTGGCGATCGTGGCGCAGAGGATTGTGCGCTGGTCTGGTAATCCGAAGACCCGGGTTCAAAACCAAACAAAAACATTGTTGGTTTTTCGTTCGATCGCCATCATAGCGAAGTGGATATAGAGAGTGTTCTAAAGAGGTTTGGGCACGTTCCTTGAAAAACGCCTTGTAACCCTAAGGGGAATCAATAAAATGTACTAGTACAATACATTCTTATTACAAGGAGAAGTAAAAAGTCAAGATGACGTCAATTTGATGTCGTATTGACCAAAATATGACACGAATTTGGTCAATATATCATCAACTTGACATCATCTTTGACTTTTCCTTTCGGAGAAATGAAAAGTCAAAGATGA